AAATTTATTTCCCCTTTTTTTTTCAAAAAGGGGGGGGGAGGGGGGGGGGGGGAGGTTAGATTTCGAGAACACACTCAGGGAAGCCACAAGAAAGTGGACCATTGACAGTTCGACAACCCCCTCCCCACGTCCGCCCCGCAATGGGGCGCAGTTCTGCCCATTCTCTACAGGCACAATGTTCCTCTTCCTACAATTCTGAATAGGAAAAGTAAATGAAAATTATAGAAATTGAAGACCAGCCAAATTAGAAGAGTTGGGCATCACAATATCTGTTTCAAAAAAAAACCATTTCCAACATTGACGATCCAACGAACTTACGTGTTACTCCAAAGGACAGCTCGATCAAATTAGAAATGAGCTTACCGACCTTGACGACGGCATTTTTGTCTAACTCGGAATATGTAGATGAGCCATTTTCGTACATATCCGTTGGCCTCAAATACGTCATTTTCGTGTATGCATCTGATGGCCGACGAATGGATGGGGGTCGTTCAAGGCAATGCATCGATTTTGGAATGAACACACGACGGAACTCCTGAAAAATCGTAGGAATTTCCAGGAAATCTTTAAAAAAATCAAAAAAGAAAACGGAGGACTTCGAAAAAATTGCAAAAATAGCTGGAATTATTCAGAAGAGAAATTAAGGAAAAGAAAAAAACGACAGCCTCAGAGCCCTTTGTGTGGAAAGAATTTAGGTGGTCATCCCCTTGAGCAGGCGTAACCCTGTGTTCCCACTGATATGTATCTACCAGAAAAAGTATAGCCCTAGGAAAAGTAGGAAAAAAGTTTGACTGAGAACCGAGGCGAAACCCTTTTTTAACAAGAAATCCCTTTCTTGACTCAATTCTCAGAGTCTTAGCAAAAGAAAGGAAGATGTGAAGTATCGAAGACGAGGAATTGAGGTCGAAATGGTCCTTCTAACGAATCTTCTAGATAAATATATGACGACCTATGGGATTGAAATGATCACTTGGATGATATCCCCTTCCCTATCGCCCACATTCTGGATAAGCCAAATTCCATTATATAATCCAATCCGACGAGAATGAATGGCTCGATAAATCTAATCACAACCATATATAAATCTGCTCAGTCAATATAGCACTTCTTAGTCCCTCCGTCACTCTCGAGCCCATGAAATTGCGGAGTTAATCGAATATCCCGACTGCCCTTACGTAAATGTATAAATAAAGACATAGCCCTTTTACAGCAATTGTTTTACTTTCTCTAAATGTTTGGAAAAAACGAACATTTCGGAATTGTCCACTCATGGAGCAGTAGATGATGAATGACATGCAGGCTTCACATAACGAGAACAAATCCAGCAAATCGCCCAGGTTGTTGTAGATATGACGTCGGAATTCTTGAGATATCATACCTGTAATATCAGTTATCAATAAAAAGGAAGAAAAAGGAAAAGGGGAAAGAAAGAAGAAGAGATCAGGGTTTCCCACTGCTGTCATTCGGCTGTAGTGATTTAAACTAGGGGGTAGAAGTAGAGTTGATAATGTCACAATTATTATATAATACGACCGTTGGCTACAGATCTCATATGGGAGGTTACTGTAGTTTTATGCTGCGAAAAGAGCGCACTCTCAAGTAAGAGAGTCCAGACGGCTGTACAATATGCACTCAAACACAGACAGTCTTTATTCCAGACTTTCGCAGTCCACGTTTTCCTTTTTTGGTTCTGCAGAGCTGACTGCCTAGAAGTTCTAAAGCTCCTAGTTAGAGCCTCCTGTTCGGTTTTCTGTCAGCCTGTCCCTTTTGTATCTTGCCTTTTGCACAATAGCCTATACTGCGAACGGAATCTGTACCTCAGGAGCTTTTTCACCACCTGAGGAATTATTCAAACTCATTTCTATCACTTTTTCGGGTCCGCGCGTTCGAGTAAAATCCCTAGCGCAACAGAAACCAACCTGACAACAACGCCATAATTCCTTGAGGCATTTCAGTGAACAACATAACGAAGACGATCGCCAGTAGCATGTTCGTTGTCCGATCGGCTCTTTCACCCCTACCGGTGCCTCTGAAATACCGTACATCAGATTACTAAAAGATGTAGATTACTAAAAGATACAGATTACTAAAAGATGTAGACCGTACATCAGATTACTGAAAGATTACTAAAAGATTACATCAGATCACCATGTGAATGATAATTCTTAGAAGAAAAGGCCCGGAGACGTAAAGGCATAGCTAATGTTGAATATGAAAGACCGTCTACACTCGTAAAGTAAGGCCCTCGTCTCCCGCAGCTGGTTCCAGGAAAAGTTCGAAAAGAGTGTTCTAGTCGGGATTTGGCTCCAATTCAGTGTTACTGTTGGTTCACGACAAACTTTTCTATATCTGCTACAGGTGATTCTCTATATCGAACCTTATGACTTTCCACCTCCTCCCTCTTTCCACTCAATTCCTCGGAATCGACCCCCATAAAAAGTTTTTGATAGTTGCTGTTTTTGAGTGGGCAAGGAGCACAGTTAGACGAAGGACTCTCTCTGACATAGCCTGTGTATCAAAAAACCGCTTCATTTACCTGACACTGCTTGTTCGATGATGTTTATCATGGGCAACCAAAACCACCTTTCCATTGGAACTGGCTGGTGGGATTGCATGATGCGAGTTTTTCAGTAGCCTTTCTCGATTCGCTTTCACCTTAAATCAGTCTGTTTTAGAAGGTTTCGACGATTAGGAATAGATGTAAAGATGACTTTAAAAATAAATCGGAGGTATCCTACCATCATAGAGCCATCCCTAGTACAAGTGCTCATGTCAACTTGTGGATGTGGACTCGGAACGAAGGAAATATCTAGCAGAAATGGTTAAGGCGCTGAGTCTTATTCCCTCTAGGAAGATCAGTTCTTGGTCAGATGAAAGTTCCTCCCCTTTTATGCTCGACTTATCGGAAATAAAACTCAGAAAGGGGACTTCCATTCAAAATGATCCCAGGACCATGTGTGTGATGGTGTGGGCACTTGGCATTACACCACGTCCGTTCCTTCAACAAGTAATGCCCCTTTCAGAGAAAAACGCCAACTACCTCCCTTCCCTTATGGCAACACACCCATTTCTCCTGAGTTCCATCTAAATTTGTACGCTTTTTGCAGGATTCCCAGAGCGTATCCTTTCAGTGAAAGCCACGGATGAGTAAGTGTGTGACAACTAGCATGGCGGAAGTCATCAACGCTATTGCTATAAACTTGTTTGTACGAATTATTTATAATGTTCAGAAATTCGTCATGATTATAACTAGTAATAGAAGAGGCTAGCAGAAGTGCCTCAATATGACTATACCCTGCATTTTTGTGGAAGCGTGTTGAATAAGCTTACACTATGGAAGTACATGGGCTTCATTCTGACTGCCACTTCAAGCTATCTTGTTGAGAACTCTGTATGGGTAAAGTTATAAGTTTTTTGATCAACTGATACATTTTCATTGAGTGGAGCGGATGAGATCAGTCCTTTTGAAATGAGCCGTGCTCTTCGTCTCAGTTCGGAATTTTGAGCCCATTCAAAGAAGGACTGTAGCCTTCCATGGACTAATTCAAGCGCATTGAATATCAAAATAAATGTAAATCTACATAATGTACAACATAATCGAGATTCGCCTAGCAAGTGAGTCTCTTGCTGAGCTCTCAACGGGAAAGATTTATAAAGCCTGATCAGCACGAGTAGGATCCGATCCACGACCTTTAATCAAGAAAGCGGTATCTATTGGCACGACGCTACACTGACAAAGATCCTAAGCATACGAAGGGAAGCGAACAAATCCGAACCTCTTTCAAAATGCCGAGCAACAACCAGACAAACAATGATAGAAGACAGCACGGTATCACTTTGAATACGAGACCCGATATCCAGAAGACTAGCCGAAATACCTGAACGACAAGTTCAATGAGGTTGCACTTTTGATTTTCAAACCAGATAAAAGTCTAATAAAACTTTACAGAATCAGATTTTTGCCTATTTTTTGAAAATTTCAATTGCCAATAAAAATAGATAAGAATACACAGGATAAGAAGAAATAAAAAATGGAACTTACGAGGCAGTGTTTTGCAAGAGCAATTTCTGCTATACCAGGTAGATAGGCGGCTGCACCAAGTAATGCCGGATCCCTAACTACACAAGTGTCATTTAATCTGAAAAAAAGGATCTTAAATCGCAAAAAACTAAATTTACCTCATAAATTTATAGATAGTCGAACCTCTAACAACTTTTTGGGAAAATTTTATCGGAACTCTCTCAGAAACTTGTCAGTTTAGCAAGAAAAAGGAGGTCAAAACTGTTAAGGAATGGGAGAAAAAAGCCAAGAATTACCTTATTTCATGAATTTTATAAGTGAGAAAATTTGGAGCGTTGACGACGGCAACAAAACAGATTGTTCCACCAATCGCTAGATACGAGTGTTTTAGACCAATCTACAAAAACAAATTTGAATTTGATGAAACAATCCTAAAAACGAGGGAACTGAAATAAGAACGTCTTTCAGGAGAAGGCCCTTCTAGAGCTCTCCGAATACCCAAAATATGCATTGCTTCAAGCACAACAAAAATAGGTTTAATTTTTTCTCAGGGTAAATGAGAAAGTCGGAAGCTCTTTAGCGACTAACCTGAGTACCAGCTGAGTTTCCACGACTTCGCAGTGTCATATACCGTAGCAAAGCGAGCATCACTGAAATATGTCAAGATTGGATGAAGGATTTTCTACTTTTTAAGTTATTTGTTATTCAGGTAAAGGGTGTTTGACTGCAGGGCCTGCAGAAGAAACATCAAGTATTTATAAATAGTATAAGAATATAGAAAGTGCCAAGTTTCAATTTATACGATTGGACATCGGGATAAGCCATGTTTTTGTCTTTCGATATGCATTTTTAAGTCATTGAAATGCATATTTAGCTTCCCCGTGACTATTGTTTCACTGAACAAAAAGTTCATACTCGATCGAAGTTCAGGTTAAGGGTCAATTGATGTGACGACTTGAGGATTCAACTGTCTTCTGGAGCGATGCCTAATTAATTTTCATTCTGCTCACTTTCCTGAATCTTTATTTGTTAGCTCTAATATTTGGAGCTTCCGTAGCCATTGCTGCACTTCCGCAGACAAGCAGTAATCTACTTATTTATTTCTCCTATTTATTTCTTTGTTTATTTACAAAGTCAGGTAGCTCTTGTTCCGAAGCGAAAGAGGGACGGAACTTGAAAGAAAACGCAGAGCGCCGTTCCTTTTTCCTCCTCAGACTAAACGATAGTGCTGATTCCAGTGAATTTTTCGATTATTCTATGCCGATCTCAAAATATCCGAGCAGAACTTCCGAGGAATTGAATTCCCTGAAATAGTGGCCAAGTTCTCATGATGTCTATTGAAAGCAATACTCTCTTCAGAGTCACAACAGAATGAATCCTTTCGAAACGATGAAAGGACTCTCTCAGCATAATTAGTCAGGAGCCTGTTCTTTCCTGTACTTACTGCTTTAAGAGTACAGGAAAAATGGGCTGTAGTATAGCGCAATTAGTTTCATTTGCTGCAAGCATCCCTTCAGTTCCCGAGCGTCCTCTTACCCTGTCACTTGGTTCAGAATTCGCTAACGAAAACAACTTTGATACATGGCTTTTCGGGGAAAACAACACGAAATTCACCTGCAATTAGTCATTTCTTGTGTCTGCTCCGACATCGTGACAATTAAGTGCGCTTATTTTTAGTGTTTTTCGAAGGTCAAAAATGACGTTTGCGAACAAGACATTATGGACTCATGAAAGGGAAATACTCTACGAATACAGGAATGAGTTGTGGGACAAGGAGTTAAATAGAGCTGAGGCAAATTAAAAGGCAACTACAATTATAAAAAGCTTTCTCAACGATAAGTTCAAATCTGGTCTTTATAATACCCAATGGGATATATTCTTCAAAAAAACTAGGGAGTCTGAGGCCCATGGTACAAATACGCATAAAATAAGAATTCATGAATTCAAACAGAAATCGAGTGCGTGACGCACTCCGAGCGCAGTCAATGCCGACAACCGATGCTCAGCAAAAAGAACGAAACCTTCGTTTTGGGATGCACCATCCAGCTGTCGTTCGGGATCAGAGTATGTAGCTTGAATGGAACATATTTATCTTGTGAAACGTTTGCAGTGCTCATCTGTCGTACGACAGTCTCCCAAACGGGAATCTAGCACCTGCCATGGAATTCCGGATAGGTGGAAGGTCAGGATGGGATTCAGCTTCGCGACAATTTTTTTAAAATTTGGGTGATTGTCTAATGGTGCTTTTATCTATCTAGAATCCCCGCACTGGATCTCTGATTCTACCTATCCACGGCCAGACAATTATTCGAGGGCTGATTAGCCTCATTCGCCCGAGATAATGAAAAACANACAGAGTTATTTACAAATGCCCCGAAAGTCGTTGTATAAGCTAAATGTGCGTCTATATGCCACCCTTACATTCAATAATATATGGAGGGATGAAAGTGCAATGCCAGAATGGCTCTGACTGCATTTTCAGGTATCAGTAACCGTGGATAAGCCAATTCCCTCTTGTAATTTTATCCGATGGCTTTACTTACGGATTAGCGAGAAAAACCGTCTGACACCTAATGATCCTATACCGTTCCCAGGCAATGCGCTTCATTATTCATTGGAAATCCAATTTAGTAATTGAATTTTCTGTCTGTAAGCGTTCGAGGGATAGGATAAGGGCGTTAAGGAGTGGCGTCAAGGCTATGGTCTGAGATCGAAGCTCGGATCGACGCTCGCCCAGGCCAAATAGTCCTTCCATCCCGCCGTAGTCGATTGATCGGTATCAAACTCGTCTGGGAGAATAAATGCATTGACTTGTATGTCGAACGGCTCTCGCAACTCATTGTGCAGGCCGAATAGACATCCAAACGCAGCCACGAACGGATGCCGGTGTGTGGGTACATCTACGTCCACTCCAAAAAAGGCTTTTGCGGTCAATATAAACCTTAATTTTATTATGACTTATTGATGCTTCTGCTGCTGTAGAGACCATGTTTGCCTATCAAAACTACATAAGCAAATAAGTAATTAGGTGAAGCGGTGTAGGTGGTCAAAAAAAGGAGAGTAACTCACCGGATAACCACACCGACGAGCTGTGCCCAACTAATGACAGATGAGCGTGAGCTATCAAAAACAACGCCCAACCGTAACTCCAATGTCGTGGATGGCAATGTTTGAAGGCGACAAATGAATAGTGTGTAGTGTAGATCAGATTCGAAAACAACACTACCGTATCGCAACATGCCATTGCCGTCAATATCATATTGACTGGTGTACGCATTTGTCGTCTGAAAGTGGTAAGAAGTTAGACAGAGAAAAATTTTATGAGTTTACTTGTTTATACGATTATTTATTTATTTATATACTGATCGCTCCACTCGATTTCATCCCGTTCTAGCTAACTTTTTTGCTTCAACTGAGATGCCTTAGCGACCACAAAACTAAATTGTTCGCAAAAGGGGATCACACCGGATTAGATTTTGTAAAGTTACAGTGGCTACATCGTGCTATCTCAAGACAAATTCAGTAGTACGCGGGATTTTGTGATACAGTAATCACACAAAGTAAATCCTAGAAGAGACACCAGACAACTAGAGGAAGCCCGTCACGCATACGGTGCAATAGAAAACGCGTTGTGTGGTAACTAGACGTTCTGGCCAGGACACACAGGCCGGACTACTGTATCACGAAATTGTTCAGGCATTCGAACTTGGCTAAATAGGCTGACGGTGCTTCAATCGGCAGAAATTTCGAAGAATTGGGTAAACTTACCTCGTAAGTACAACGATATTACAGAAATTTGCAACAGTTCCAAATATGCACATTATAATCGATAAGTATGTATGTATCGGCTTGTAAAACAGATGAACTTCCCTGAAAATCATGTTTTTATCAACAGAAGAAAACCCTACAAAAATCTAAACATCAATTTGTTGGCAAATATACGATTTACCTGAAGAAATCATAAACAACACTATGATTGGGCAAGTGCACGAGTACAGTTTGGCATTGATCAGCATCCATTTTGATCGATTATTGATTGATTTCTCACTGAATATAGAATCGCATCTGTAATTAGGAACTGGTAATTTACTGATAAGTCGTAATTGGATAGTCACATGAGAGATTCACTCGAATACGTGGAGACATAAATAAATGCTTATCGAAATGTCAACAGCTATTAAAGAGACACGACGACTCTTCTGCAGGATTTCTCAAAAAACAGAACTCGAGAATAGACATAAACAGTAATTCATAACGTGCTTACTACATCAAAACAAGTCGACAATCAAATGGTTCTAAGAGCATTCGACGGAAATATTCTGAATGACGAGAAAAGAGCTATTTCGGGTTCAACGGAGGTTACAAAAAACAGCTCAAAATTAACGAAAAATGCTGGAAGAAATAGCAAAACTGAAGGAGGGTGAAGAAAGTACAAGCGATCAATCTTGTAATGTTCTGAGGTTCATCAGATCAAACAAAACAGAAGAAAGCAACCCAGAAAAGACAGAAATAGCAAAGTAAAGGTGAACAATTAGGTTGGAAACGGAAGGGTTCCTGAAACATTCGACGACTTGGTTGGAGAGATAGAAGCCTTTCTGATCCGCCCAGAAATTTATAGGAAGAAACCAACACAGAAACCACTCAGGAAAGCAGGAAGAAAGAGCAAATGTAAAGTCGAGTAACAGGTAATTTGAGATTACTAGGTACTTACAACAGCAAAAGTAGGGATGATGAAAGCGAGTTGTGAAAGCATTTGACAGAAAGACTCTATATAAAGCGAAAAAAGCTGTTTCGAAGATTTAATAGGAAAAAAAGAGGCCATTAATTCAACCTAAAAATAGAGAGCGAAATAGTGTAGGTATCAACAAGTGACGAGAAGCGCGAGTATGCAAAGTACTTGAGTATCAACAAAAATGGGAGGTGATGAAAGAGTTTCGAGAGCATTCAAGGGAAGTATTCTGAAGGACTGATGGAAGCAATCCCAGTTGCACAGGAATTCGTTTTAAAGCCAAAACGAAACTTCTCAAACCGGAAAGGCTTGAAGAAGTAGTAAAGACAGAGATCTGTTATGAGTAATGCGAGGTATTTACAACAACAATAGTAATGGGCTAAAGAAGCGTTCTGAGAGCATCGCATAGGAGAAGGAAGGGATTTCAGCTGTCATGAGATTCACTTTACATAGGCAGAAATGGTGGAATGACAAGTGGCGCACTATCACCAACGCATGGTCCGGGAATGGGATCTCGAGTCATACTGAGTACGCCTGTACGATTCTGATTCTGCCTGAGCCAACCAAGTCTCCCACCCGGGGTTCTTGAACTCTTACCATACACGACCGGGTGGATTAAAACGCTGACTTCGGCTAGCAACCACAAATTGTATAGAACACATACGCATTCAAAACGCCCATACGATTCTGGATGGAGTTCGAGTACGGGAGCTTGCCGAAGATGTGGTTAACTAATTCAAAAACCTTGTCTTTTGTCCTTTTATAAAGTCCGCATTGAGCAACCAATCAGTTAAATTGAATTCAGAAGTGCAAAAAGATAAAGTAAAGGTTAAGGCAATGGACCATTCCTTTTAGGGTAGATCCCTTTTCCTTATCGGGCAGACGTTTCAAAAAAGGGGCGATTCACTACTAGACATGCTTTTCCCTACCTCCCATAACTCATCGTACTCAATTCCTCTTGCAAGCGTGAAATACATGAATGATAAACAAAAACAAGTGACGCCGAATGGGAGAGATCGCATTTGCAAAGGTATGAAGCACTTGATGTTGATTGTCGACCAGCGCTCGAAATGGATGGTGGCTGGTGGCATTTGAACGAATATGTGGCTTACACAACGGGAGAGTCTGGATCAGTCAACCAGCTATGGAAGCGTCCTAGGTTTATTTAGCTCGCAAGGGATGATCCAAAAGATGCTAGAAATAGGGCTGTGGTTGCAAATTCTTGCCTTCCTTTCTATCTATTCCACTAGAATTTGAAGGAACCAATACGTTCTTTTCCTGTTCCTTTCCCCCTTCAATTCCCTTTTCCACCTCCTCCACCCTGAACCCTGTTTACGCGCCGTCTCGGGTGCCCCGGCTCTTACCGTCTTCATTTCTACATAGCGTCTTCTCTCTACACCTTGACTCCGACTGGCAGGGTTTCTCGCGGTCGCTTTCTTTGAGCTTCAAACTCCAGTTCCTTACTTATCAGTGGCCTTCTCTTTTATGCCCATACCATCGTCATCGTAGGCGCTACTCTCTCATCCTTCACTGGAGGGGGTTCTTTGTATGACCGTTCTAACCATAAGGTCCTCGTTACTAATCCGGTCCAGTCGCTTCCAACCACGACATCATCAGCCTCATTTCTGTTGAAGTTACTTCTCAGGAGTATTTACCAACGAAACAACACTCGCAGCCGTAGAGGAGGGGGGAGGGGGCATCACGAGCCTCACCACTGCCCTACAGAGCTCTCCTTTGAGCTTCCTGGAGCAAAGCTTGCCAAGGAGAATACCGCTGGCTTCTCCATTCCATCATTGCCGTATATATGCTGGAAGGATCAACGTTGAGATATTATCTCCTATCACTATTTGAATAAGGTGCCCTTTTCTGCTGTTCTACGAAAAAGCTACAGCTGTTTTCTTTCTCTGTGGAAATAAATATTATACATCTATGTGCACCCACGCAATTACTAGAGACATAATTTAGCGAAGGATACGAACTGATCTCTTACTCATTCTCAATTTCCTCTCAGTCATAAGGACTTCTACGTCGAATACGTAATGGATTCGCAATTAAATAAAATTATAATAGAAGGAGTATGTTGGAAAAGAAACAAAAGAATCGAAGAAAAAGCTCATAAAGAAGTAACATTTCCCAAGTTAGGATAAACAAATAGCGTGAGATATCTGCTAGCCTCTATTGAATGTAGCCGAAAGAGCTAAAAATTCGTGCAGAGCACCGTTGAACCAGTGACTCTCCTTCAACGCATCTTCGATCTATACGCATCGCTACCGCACGCATCAGTGGCCTGCAAATAGCGCAAGTAAGGTGCATGAGCGGGTTTGCGGCAGTGCAGATCTCTTGGCCACTGTAGTGCCATTTTTAGGCTCGTTTCAGCAACCTTTACCTTCTATAGATGAATGGCTCTGACGCGACGAGTCAACTTTGGTTCGAAGCCCCGTTAGCGACCAAGAAGTGCCGGCCTACACCTCCATTTTGTAATCATGTTCTCCCACTTTTTGTCTTATTCCATCACAACCTAACTTAATTCTGTAGGTAATTCAGTAATCTAGTGATTGTATTTACCATCAATCGACAGCATGGTGCAGGAAAAAAACGATATACTAGCGGAGTAATATTATGAGTAATACCTATTATATACTTCTAGAAAGATGATTTGTAAGAAAAAACAATATTTCCGCTCTTTTCTTTAGTGGTTCATTCCCAAACTTCTCATGGAGTGCTTTTCCAGTTAACTTTTATTAATTTTCTAATCGCACTTGCGACTACCCTGGCTTGCGACAGGAGCGAATGGAGACGTTACTGGCGCATGTTCTGGGAAATAAATGTTCAACTGGACGACAGGTGACAAGGGACAGGTGAGTTCTGTTCACTTGTCAGTATGGGAATATAGAATTACTCACAATCCTTTGTTGCACTTATGTTTTCTCAGCCAATACGATTTTTTTTACAAAATAATCGAATTTAGACTGAACATTACCCTACCGTATCTCAACAATCGAATTTATATGGAAGACCCTACCCAGATTTGTCTCGCAGCAGGCTAACGTGATCCCTTAATCCTCCCTGTAACCCTCTTTTGGGAAATATACATAGTCAGAGAGCAAGTGGTCGCAGAGTCGAGGCTCCCTTTGTTCCCCCAGTGCAATCTGGGAGGACCCCGCTACGGTCCAGAATTCAATAGCGAAACCAATAACATTTTGGGATATCTGATATTCGATCACCAAAGTAGTTCGGGAAGATCTCCCATGCATCAGTATGTTCCGAAAGCATCAGGGAATTCGAACCTGCTCAATAGCAAGGCATTCATCACTGACCGTGCTCGGGCTCACCTGAAACCCCTAGATCGACGGAAGACCCCAGACGGGAGCGTCCTGCTGCCTGCAAAACAACTGTAAAAACAAAGCTTTTAAAACAGACAAAGTTAATTGCAATGCGATTTTGATGCCCAGAGGGTTGCAAAACGGTTTTAGAGATTAACGATCGAGATCCGGGACAACAAACGATGTTGTTTTTCCCGTCGTCCCCACTTATCGGCCCACTCTCAGTAATTCACTGCTTTTCATGTAAATCCTGTATGCAGGAAGTTACAACGTCACAGATTCCTTGATCCACTGTTGTTGGAGAGCTATCTTCACAATGTTTTAGAGGAACTTTGACTTACACACCGCCTCAGCTTGGCGGATTACCTTTTAACAGACGGAGGCCTGGGCTTTGGGAGAGAGGCTACAGCCACCTACAGTCACTACAGCATTCGAAAGATCCGCGGTTACGGGGAGGTCGATTTTGTAATCATGTAACTAGTAATTTGATGATAAAAGAAATGATCCCGGACTGCGTTTCCC